TGAAAGAAATGATGACTAAGTAAAAAAGAACAGGCCGCTAACAGACTCTTTATCTGACCTTCAAACTACATAAATATGTATAAATATAGATAGACCCAATCACAGACTCTTTATCTGACCTTCAAATTACATAAATATGCATAAATACAGATAGACCCAACCACAGACATTTTATCTGACCTTCAAATTACATAAATATGCATAAATATAGATAGAACCAATCACAGACTCTTTATCTGACCTTCAAATTACATAAATATGCATAAGTACATATAGACCCAATCACAGGCTCTTTATCTGACCTTCAAACCACATAAATATGCATAAATATAGATAGACCCAATCACAAACTCTTTATCTGACCTTCAAACTACATAAAAAAAACATATAAACATTTACAAAGGCAGACCCACTCGCAGGCTATTTTTCAGACCTTCAAAATACATAAATATACAGAGAGACACAGACCAACTCTAAGCTCTTTAACTGACGTTCAAACCACAAATAAACATTAATAGCGACACAACCACTCATAGGCTCTTTATATGACCTTCAAACTATACAAATATACATCCAGGAATCACACAAATTTTCACAGTACAGTTAAGTAAGAGCCCTTGGAAATCAAATTTTTTACCTAATCCAGTATACAAGGGAGACATTCACTGTTATGACCTACCAGTGTAAAGAGGACACAGGACAGGACCATAAGGCTGGTGAAGAGGTTGGCGATAAGTACGAGACATACAATAAACACACAGACAGCAGCTAGTGCCAGGTTCCTGTACAACTCCATCTGGATAACCTGAAATGTAATATCACGTAATTTAACAGTTCTGTTACTATTAAACATTGTCAACAATCACATCATTGTATACTTTCTCATCAGGCTTTGTGTTACATTGTATAAATCTATGCCAAGAGATGTTTTCTAATTTATAATTAAATGTAATATTGAACTTTGACCTTCAAACATATGTTTTTAACAAGAAGTAATATATGAAATTTAACTTGTGTCATCACTTAAGAGACTTGAATGAGGTGCCAATTCAGCAATTACTTTACATAACATTTTAAGGTATAAGAATAAAGGAAACAAATGCAGGAAAGCCTTGAGAGCAGAAATCTATAATGCTCTGTGATGTCATCAAAAGCCAACATTATTGTTCATTAATTAATTAAATTATATTTGAGATAAGCTGTGGAATACCTTGTTTGTGTACCATCGTAAGTAGAATCTTCCATAGGCGAAACAATTTTCATTGGGGAAGAGTCCCGACACGATGCCCATAGTGTCGTCCATAGCTTTAATTTTGCTAGACGAGTCAGTTAACACTATGTGTGTGTATCTAATGAAGGATGCCTACAAAATAAAGTCTCCTATTAGCATAGACTCTTTGTGATAACTTATCCATGGTAAAAGTTCTCCATGTTTTTGTAGTGACCATCTCTGGCAGCATAAGCAGTCAAGAGAAGTAAAGTTTATATATCTAAATTCAATACAATACTGGTATTTCTTGTACTTTAATATTGAAATGAACAAGATTAATAAAAACACAGTCAAAGAAGTGAACAAACTCTAGGTAAAACATCATCAGAAGCTACATAAAACAAGCGTTTCCTACTTCAGTTTAGATTGGTCAATTTATAATGACAGTGATAATAAAGATTTTAGAATACTAGTTTAGTAAAGTGCCATTTCCACCTGCAGTTTTCACGATAACAGAAACCTGTCCCCTAGGGTGTCTAACAAGCTACAGATACTGAACAGCAATCTTTCCTATTTATTGGGTTAGAGAAAAATCATCTCATTTGATCAGAGAAGCAAGACAGAATAACTAGCTTTGGCTTCAAATTAGACATTTGAATCCTGCCTCTTTGTTTATATTTTTATGTCTGGCCAAGAAATGGATGAACAGATCACTTGTCTTTTTCCTGGACCATATCACAGACAGGCAGTGGACCTAGGACCATGATGTTAGAACATGAAGACAGGCCAAGGGCTCCTAGGACACCATATTTAACATGCTGACCTAGAACTCCTGGGCAATGATATTGAACTTAGGCCAAGGAATCCTGGGTCATGATTTTGAACTTACAGATGCGCCAAGCTCCTTAACCCAGATATCAATCCTCACAGTCAGGACATGAACTCCTGTAACATTGAACTGACAGACGTGCTATGAACTCCTTGGCTGTTATATTGAACTTACAGATAGGGCATGAACTTATGTGCTGTTTTATTGAACTTACAGACAGGCTATGAATTGGGTCGTGATATTAAACTTAGAGACAGGCCGATGATCCCTGGGTGATGATAATGAGCTTGCAATCATGACGTAGACTCCTGGGCTGTGTTATTGAACTTACAGACATGATGAGGACCAATGGGCAGTGGAATTGAACTTACAGACAGGGCGAGCACCATTGGACTATGATATTGAACTTACAGACAGGGCGAGCACCATTGGACCATGATATTGAACTTACAGACAGGGCAAGCACCATTGGACTATGATATTGAACTTACAGACAGGCCAAGGACTCCGGAATTGTTGGTGAACACCAGTTCGCTCCTGTGACGCAGTCCTGTAGCCTCAGTCGTCACAAACTCATATAACAGGTCGTAGAAATTTACAGAGGAACTTGGATATTTATCTAGAAAAAATTAATTTAATCAAGTTTAATTCATTGGCACCTTTAAAGAAATACATTTAAATTTCTCCAGATAATAATTTTGGTTTTACCAGGGTCTACGCTTTTTGTATTGATGACTGGTTTCTATGACATCAACTGGGAATCCATACTAAAAAGGGCCAATTCTCCTCACAAAATATGTGGAAAATTAGGTATGTTATATAATCATAATTTTTTTTTAATTCTACTGTAGCGATGGTGCTTTCAAGCAGCCCAGGAAAGTACAAGAGTTTTACAAACTTACTGGCGTCCAGTCTGGAGGTGACGGAGGCTGTAGAGGTAGAGCTGAGCCAGTCTGTGAAGGACTTGAACCAGCTATCTGTTGTCCCTGAGGATATGTCACTGCTACCAGTTAGCTGAGTGTACAGGGAGTCAAACTGGGTCTTACTAGAAAAGTAATCAATATTCTCTGAAAAGATATAACATATTTCTCTAAATAGCAACGAGCCATTAGTTTGAGTCACCATGTTGTTACTCATCAAGTATTTATCATAACACTGTAAACAATGTGAGTCATCAGAAACAAAAGCTGGAACATCTGAACAATTCATGTAACTCACAAGATTCCATGTCTGTTAGCATTTTACATAACTCACTAGATTTTATAAATCTGATAATTTTATGTAAATCATTAGATGATGTGTCTATGAGGAGATATTGTAATTTCTACATCTCTTAAGCAACAGTTATAAATAAAAAGAAAGTGTAAGACAGTTTCCTGAGAATAAGTTTTGAAATAATTTAGGAAGATACATCCTCAAAAAATCTTATTCTAGAACACAATTTAACTTTTATTTGAAGTAACCATTACTGAACCTTTAATTAACACTCAATACAGTAGACTGCCGCTCGAGCCCCTGTGTTTAAGTATTCGTTACTGAACCTTTAATAAACACTCACTACAGTAGACTGCCACTCGAGCCCCTGTTTTAAATTATTCGTTACTGAACCTTTAATTATCACTCTCTACAGTAGACTGCCGCTCGAGCCCCTGTGTTTAAGTATTCGTTACTGAACCTTGAATTATCACTCTCTACAGTAGACTCCCGCTCGAGCCCCTGTGTTTAAGTATTCGTTACTGAACCTTTAATTAACACTCACTACAGTAGACTGCCGCTCGAGCCCCTGTGTTGAAGTATTCATTACTGGCACCGTCATACTTGTAGGGATAGGAGTCCGTTGGGATAAACCATATGGAGTTATTCTCCTGCTTCAGCTCCACAAAACCCCAAATACCGAAGCCCAGGAAGATGGCAGTCACAACCATAGCTGCTATCTATATTCAGTAAAATAAAATCTGCATTCCAAATTCTATAACGTATGCATTATTATCTGGTACTTCTGTATCAAAATCAAAACATTAACTGCTATACTACAGAGTGTATAAGCAGAATTTATTCTACAAAACTTGAAATTAAATGTTAATCTTAGCATTTGCAATGTATGTGTTTGTGTCCATTGATATGTAAGCACACTGTCAATAACAAATACATTTCCTGCTCTGAATGGAATGAAAAATATATTGTTAATCATATATGATTGTGAAGATAGAATTGCCTGAACCACACACTAAGCAGTCAGTATACAGAGGCAGGACGTAACGGAAATACCTTTACTGGTAAACGCATCAAATTTGGTGCGTAAAACTTCTTCATTGCTGCGACAAATAATTCTGTTTTACTGCATTCGTTTGGCTGATAGTAAGCATTGTGCCTGTAGCAACATATACATGCATTTCTGTCATCATCACGTCTCTTAGCACTCAAAGCAATACAGCCGACGTAAAATGTCGCCGCCAACAGGAACAGGGCAAATATGCCCAGGCAGCAAAACACACAGAAGGACCGCAGCGCTGGCAGTACCTCGAAAGGAAGTCAAAATATTGGTGAAAGAGAATGGTTAAGATGATCTTTATATATTGTGTGACAAATAAATTGCACCTCCACAATAGATCTGTAGTTGGACTCCCTGATCAAAATACCGATGAGTATTAATGTGTCTTTTTATAATGTAATATCAAAACACAGCATTACTTACTGTGGTGTCAAAGCATCTATCTGAGCAAGTAAACCAGAAATTGGCTGTATCTGATCATGATTCTACTGAGGGCACTTAAAATTGCAGTGCACTTCTCTTGTAAAAGAAAAAGCTCTAACTCTGACTTATAAACATTTTTGATATCAATTTTTCACTTTCAATATTTTTATTTGTTGCACTAGAGAAAGAAGCAAATTAATTTTTTGGATTTTATTTTTTGTTTTTGTTTTTTATTCGCAATTGTTATTTCTGGTCCTGATTGACGCAGTCACACAATTTTTACTTTCTCCTTTGTCTAATTGGCCGATCGACAACGCAAAAATAACCACGCCTACCGAAAATCAAGGGAGGCTACTCTCACCATCTCCGACAAACAAAATGTCGTCAGCATTGAACGTCATTCCCGATGATATTGGACTTAATTATACTTTTAACGTATCGTTGAAGAAAAAATTAAAAGCGAACGGTTTCGTGTCTGGGTCATACTTTCAACGAGCGTCCTTCCAAACAAGAAACGATGATACAGTTGAAATTAATGGCCATGTTTTCCCCAGTCAGCGGAAAATTTGGGGAGATATACCATCTACGACCTGTTTTCAGTCGAATATTATGAGGTTTTCCTTTTTAAATAAGGTTTACATGGCAAATCACTGCATTTATTCAATATATATACCAATCAATAGGGAATTCAAAATACTAAATTTGTATCTATGAATTACAGCCCTTTCCGTTGTTGAAGGAGTAAAAACTGTCTTTTTCATTTGACGCATATTGCCAGAACCGAGTAAGTCGCCACATTACTACAATCCGTTTTTCAGACGAGTATTTCTGAGACGGTTTTTTTTACTTTTTAAACTAAGTTTATATGTGGTAGCAGTGCAATAATTAAATAAAGAAATATACCGGTCGTTAGGGAATTTGATAACCTAAAATTATGTGTATATATATATTTTTTCCTCCTTGAATGACTCAGCCATGTTAAATGTTAAATCGAGTCGATTTCAGTCTCTTTTGGTATACTGTAACGTCACTGGTCACTTATTGGGTTTTCAGATTTTTACTCAACTGTTTCCGTGAAATCGATAATTTTGCCATTTTAACAGTCAATTTCGCTTTTATGGTTCATCTTTGAAAATTTTTATTTCTTGTAAAGTGGTCACAGTAACCTATATTTTCATATATATATATATATATATATATATATAAATTTTCGCTGAAGATACCCTTTAAACACCACACAATGTTGAATCTGTGTATGTTTTTTTCCTCTTTACATTTTTGTTAATAATTAAAAAGATAAAAAACAAAAAAACAAAACAAAGTTCAAGTGGTGTGATAGTTTTCTATGGAGCAGACTTAATGAAATAAAAATAAAAACAGTCGCCATGCAGGGTTAGCTCAGTTGGTAGAGCATAGGCTCCACGACCAGAAGGGTGCAGAGGGCCAGGTGGGTTTGAATCCCCGCAGCAGCAATTTCTTTCCCTTGAAAATTCACCTCTCATCTCTGTTTCAAGTGGGAATGAAGTGGTAAACCCCAAAGAAACAAACAAAACAAGTTTGCGTTTACAGTCATATAAAGTCTTTATAAAATGGCCACCAAGATACATTACTGATATAATGGTTACTTTCTAAACTGGCATTAAATTCTTAAATTTTTGGTTTTTTATGTATATCATGTTAATGTTTTTTTTTCATCAAGAATGTTAATACCTTATTGGAAGACTTTAAAATTTTATTTCAACTGTTTAACCATAACAGTAAACACTCATATTATCACAGACCATTCACAAAGTAAAACTTTGTAAAAGAGCAGAAACATGTCCAGATAATTTCATTTCCCTTCATTCAATAAATATCCGAAAATGGTCAGTCCGAAATCAAGCTTGTTTATAAATACACACATTAACATGCGGCTTATTAGCACATGAGAGAGGATTATAAAACTTATGCTAGCAAAATTTTGAGTGAAAAAAAATACTGATGTTCATTGAGTCTGTGAATATTTACGCACTTTTGAGCAGACATAAAAATAAAAAAAAAAAAAAATGCTTTAATCTAGAAGGACACCGCAGGATCTCCTCGTTAAGTTGATACTTAGGCCGTCCGCACAATCGGAGCCAAGATTTTCACTTCTCATGCTTCATCTGAGATTTGGGAAACGGTATGAACACAACACCTCCCTCTAATCGCTCTGGGTAGCGAAATCGGTGTTGCAAGTTCCCCAGCAGCAACGTTTCACCATTGTCGGAGAATGTCGGAGTAGCGAAACGTAAACACAGAGGCGAATACTACCCGCGATCTGATTGGCTAAACCGCGCTGTCAATCAAAAGCTGTCGATCGGCCAATTACTGAATGATTCCCAATACTAACTCAATAATAACCAGCACCAGTCCAACACAATCCAATCCTACTCAATACTATACATCACTCAAGATTAAACACTGTTCGTCTACCACTGATGGAATAATCAGACAAATTTGACCAAGGTCCTGTGACAATGAATACAGTAAATCTATTCACAGACTTTGTTTAACTTCATCAAAGCGCCTATCAAACATACACATCATGATTCTAGATATCTGATTCAACAAAACAGTAGTTGGACTATTTTAACAAATTTGACCTTAAATATGGGTCATTCATTTTTGTTTACTTTGTCAGGCTTTATCCAAGGAAAATATCAGCCAAAATCGTGAAATCAAAATCACGAACCTTGGCCTTTTGATTAATCAGAAGACGTTATTGGAGTCTTTTAACAAATTTGACTTCTGTCACCATGGATATGGGTCGAGGTCATTTCTTTTCGTAAGCTTTGTTGCATTTCATTCCAGTAATCTACATGTCGTCTATGTTGACAAGTTGGCAATGGCCTTTTGGCTACTAAAGAAAACTTGTTGAAAGAAGAAAACTGAAGCATGATGAACAACAGACGGAGAAACGGACAATTAATGAAGCATTGCCAGAAGCATTATGTCACTTGGCCCGTCCAGCAAGGTGAGCTAACAACTGGACAGCTATACATGATACAAAACAGACATTTTTTCTAGTTATTTCATTACATGTATATAGTATTTAATTTTTAGTGTTTTGTCTGCTCTATTACAGCCACATCTATCTGTTCTCAACACTTACTGTTGTAGCACCAATTCCAAAAGCACACATATCAGTGATGGATGTGACAGTGATAGAAACTCCAGCATGTTTTAGGGTCATTGCCATACGCTCATGAACTGGTCGGTCTTCATACCCTGCAGGTAAACTTTTGTAGGCACCCATGATTACAAACAGATCATCCACTCCAATACCTGTCATAAAACATTGAAGAAGCAGGGTTATCTTCTCCGCGAATTGGTCTTTAATAACTTACTCCAGATACATCAGTAAAGCTACATTAAAAAACTTACATTTGTACACATAAAGAGCTCTAACACTAAATAAATATTACAGTTGTTTTTGTAGAAAATTAACTACTTACAATTTTACACAAAATCCTTGAAAATATTCAACTTTTAAAAAAATGTACACAACAACATCCAAATGTATCAGAGAGTAGTCATGACAAGTAATACTGATAAAATTCTTCGTACAATTGATGGAGAAGTGATACTTACCCAACAGCAAGAAAGGAAGGATAGAATGTAGTGGAGTGTAATTCCAGCCTGCAGCAGATGCCAGTCCATAAGAAAATCCCAGTGATAACCCTATCACCAGAATACCACACACGGAAATACCAAGCTGTAATCAACAAGCAAAAGAGTAACAAAGGACATCTGTCTGTATGTACTAACATTAGGATATCTGTCTGTATGTACTAACAACAGTGTATCGTCTGTATGTACTAACAACAGTGTATCTGTCTGTATGTACTAACATTAGGATATCTGTCTGTATGTACTATCATTAGTGTATCTATCTGTGTGTACTAACATTAGGATATCTGTCTGCATGTACTAACATTAGGACATCTGTCTGTATGTACTAACATTAGGATATCTGTCGGTATGTACTAACATTAATGTATCTGTCTGTATGTACTAACATTAGGACAACATGTCTGTATGTACTAACATTAGGATATCTGTCTGTATGGACTAACATTAGTGTATCTGTCTGTATGTACTAACAACAGTGTCTGTATGTACTAACATTAGGATATCTGTCTGTATGTACTAACATTAGGACATCTGTCTGTATGTACTAGCATTAGGACATCTGTCTGTATGTACTAACATTAGGATATCTGTCTGTATGTACTAACATTAGTGTATCTGTCTGTATGTACCAGTATACCACTGACATTTTTGTTTCAGAAAAGTGTAAAAATTCTGTGTTAACATTGGATGCGTAGTTGGCATTACCCCGAAGTCGAGACAGTTGAATCTTCCCAGGATGATGATGATATAAATAATAACTATCATGTATCCAGCACTTAGTAAAAATACATCGCCACGTATTGAGTCACTAGCTACATCTTCAAAACTGAAAGAAGAAAAAACTCCAATATCAGACATGTATATATACATAGGTTAACAACACAACGTTAGTGCCATTACAATGACACGACTCATTAGAATTCAAAATGACCAAGCTGTTTTCTTTAAATTTTTCACATTGAATAGCAATATCAATATTTCTTCAGTACGTTGAAAATATTGCCATCTTTAACCTCATCTACCTGGTATATGTAGTTACAATCATTGTTATGAAATGTCAGCACACAAGGAAAAATCAAATTCAAGAACAAAGAACACATTGATACCTCCTGGTGGCCAAGACGTAGTAATTGGTGATTGAGCTGTCTTGTAAGTTCAGTACTAGGGACACTGCTTTAGATTCCCAGTCCTTGGATTCTTCTTCGCTCTAATACATACAAGTAATATTTGAGATAGTACCATTATCTACAGTAGATCATAGGTACTTAATTGTATTGTATACAACTTCTACAAGTATCCATTTTCTTCAAGATTCCAGATAAGATTGTCAAAAATCTTAAAATTCTTTTGAAAATTGATAAAGATACTTACTGCTCTATCTCCTTTTAGATAGAAGGTCATTTTAGCTGCTCTAGCAACACTGACTGTGGTGCCTGTACTGTAGATTATACCTCCTAAGGCTGTAGTTACGTCATACATCCGACCATACAGGGGACTGCAAACATACAGCTAAAAGTTACATCACACTTGTACTGTATAATCTTAAGTAATTGTAATCTAGCCATGACCTTACTTAGGTTTCATTTTTATGAGATTTGATTGTGATAAAAGGTTTCTACAAGTTTGTATTGTTACAGAATATGATGAAATACCTGTATGAAAATGAATGACAGATCTTTTCTTAAATTTTCAAATTTTTGTATTATCATTTTTTTGTGAATATTCCCGAAGCACTTCTTTTTATCTCTTTCTATTCTCTCTTCTGCTGCTATTATTGTAAATAATTATCATTCTTAGAATAATAACAATCATTTTCTGTCTAAGTAAGTTGTAACAAGGACCTTCATTTTCACATCAAGAAATAAGACATTAAGTCATTTCAGGAACAATGCGACCTATTGTGCTCAATCAAAGGATTACCTTACTGTGGCACTGTTCACCTATTAAACACTAGAGCCTACCTTACTGTGGCATTGTTCACCTCCAACACTAGAACCTACCTTACTGTTGCATTGTTCACCTTCAACACCAGAACCTACCTTACTGTGGCATTGTTCACCTCCAACAATAGAACCAACCTGACAGTGGTACTGTTCACCTCCAACATTAGAACCTACCTTACTGTGGCATTGTTCACTTTAAGCACTAGAACCTACCTTACTGTGGCATTGTTCACTTTAAGTACCAGAACCTACCTTACTGTGGCATTGTTCACTTTAAGCACCAGAACCTACCTTACCGTGGCAGTGTTCACTTTCCTCACTAGAGCCTACCTTACAGTGGCAGTGTTCACTTTCAACACTAGAACCTACCTTACTGTGGCTTTGTTCACCTTCAACACCAGAACCTACCTTACAGTGGCGGTGTTTACTTTCGACACTAGAACCTACCTTACTGTGGCAGTGTTCACGTTCGACACTAGAACCTACCTTACAGTGGCAGTGTTTACTTATGACACTAGAACCTACCTTACAGTGGCACTGTTACCTTTCAACACTAGAACCTACCTGACAGTGGCAGTGTTGATGGTGTTGAGAATGTCAGAGGCACTAGCTCCAGTGATGCTGGCATGATTGTAACTCCACAGTTCTAAGACGCTGTTCACCAAACAGTTTGAGCCAGCACTAACAATGATTTTAGTATACATTATTGACTTCTAAACTGATAAAAAGAGCGAAGCAATAGATAATTAACTATACATTTAGTTGTCAACAATTTGTTATAGAAAAACTTTACAGGAACAATTCCACAAAGTTCTTGATAAGAAGAAAATATAATTATTGACCAAAGAGTACAAACATCCATTGTAAATGAAAACCTCTAGTGTGGTAGATAAGCATTGCTCACTTAAAACATATGTCTGTGTAACTGCTACCTGCAGACGTTGTCAATGTAAGACTGCTGTTGTAGAGACTGTTCATCTGAAAGAACAATAAAACCAATCTGAAAGTTTACAACAAAATATAAATACCTCATATACAGAAAACTATTTCAATTGAATTTCTTACATTTCTCAATAAAAGAATCAATAATTTTGATATTAGAGACTAACATGTCTCAGATTCAAAAAGTCTCTCAGTAAATCTCTCTTAATTAAACCATGGTTGAGATTAATGTAGATTGAGGTACATCACTAAAGAAACTACAGAGTATCTGGAAAGGTGGGTGGTACAGCTAGACTGTACTACAGGGTGTGTGGTAAAGCTAGACTGTGCTACAGGGTGCGTGGTACAGCTAGACTAAGCGACAGGGTGTGTGGTACAGCTCGACAAAGATACAGGGTGTGTGGTTCAGCTAGACTAAGCAACAGGGTGTGTGGTACAGCTAGACTGTGCTACAGGGTGTGTGGTACAACTAGACTGAGCTACAGGGTGTGTGGTACAGCTAGACTGAGCTACAGGGTGTGTGGTACAGCTAGACTGAGCTACAGGGTGTGTGGTACAGCTAGACTGAGCTACAGGGTGTGTGGTACAGCTAGACTCAGCTACATAGTGTGTGGTACAGATAGACTGAGCTACAGTATATCAGGTAGTGTCAGACTGAGCTACAGGGTGTGTGGTACAGCTAGACTGAGCTACAGTATATCAGGTAGTGTCAGACTGAGCTAAAGGCTGTGTGGTACAGCTAGACTCAGCTACATAGTGTGTGGTACAGATAGACTGAGCTACAGTATATCAGGTAGTGTCAGACGGAGCTACAAGGTGTGTGTAACAGCTACATTGAGCTACAGGGTGTGTGGTACAGCTAGACTGAGCTACAAGGTGTGTAGGACAGGTAGACGGAGCTACAAGGTATGTGGTACAGCTAGACTGAGCTACAGTATATCAGGTAGTGTCAGACTGAGCTACAGGGTGTGTGGTATACCTAGACTGAGCTACAAGATGTGTGGTACAGCTGGACTGAGCTACAGTATATCAGGTAGTGTCAGACGGAGCTACAGGGTGTGTGTAACAGCTAGATTGAGCTACAGGGTGTGTGGTACAGCTAGACTGAGCTACAAGGTGTGTAGGACAGCTAGACGGAGCTACAAGGTATGTGGTACAGCTAGACTGAGCTACAGTATATCAGGTAGTGTCAGACTGAGCTACAGGGTGTGTGGTATACCTAGACTGAGCTACAAGATGTGTGGTACAGCTGGACTGAGCTACAGTATATCAGGTAGTGTCAGACGGAGCTACAGGGTGTGTGTAACAGCTAGATTGAGCTACAGGGTGTGTGGTACAGCTAGACTGAGCTACAAGGTGTGTAGGACAGCTAGACTGAGCTACAAGGTGTATGGTACAGCTAGACTGAGCTACAGTATATCAGGTAGTGTCAGACTGAGCTACAGGGTGTGTGGTATACCTAGACTGAGCTACAGGGTGTGTGGTACATCTAGACTTAGCTACAGGGTGAGTGGTACAGCTAGACTAAGCTTCATGGTGTATGGTACAGCTAGATTGAGCTACAGGGTTTTTGGTACAGCTAGACGGAGCTACAGTATATCAGGTAATGTCAGACTGAGCTACAAGGTGTGTGGTACAGCTAGACTTAGCTACAGGGTGAGTGGTACAGCTAGACTGAGCTTTATGGTGTGTGGTACAGCTAGAATGAGCTACAGGGTGTGTGGTACAGCTAGACTGAGCTACAGGGTGAGTGGTACAGCTAGACTGAACTACAGTATATCAGGTAGTGTCAGACTGAGCTACAGGGTGTGTGTTACATCTAGACTGAGCTACAGGGTGTGTGGTACAGCTTGACTTAGCTACAGGGTGAGTGGTACAGCTAGACTGAGCTACAGGGTGTGTGGTACAGATAGACGGAGCTACAGGGTGAGTGGTACAGCTAGACTGAACTACAGTATATCAGGTAGTGTCAGACTTAGCTACAGGGTGTGTGGTACAGCTAGACTGCACAACAGTATATCAGGTAGTGTCAGACTGAGCTACAGGGTGTGTGTTACATCTAGACTGAGCTACAGGGTGTGTGGTACAGATAGACGGAGCTACAGGGTGAGTGGTACAGCTAGACTGAACTACGTGTTGTGTGGTACAGCAAGACTGAGCTACAGGGAGTGTGGTACAGCTAGACTGAGCTACAGGGTGTGCGGTATAGTTAGACTGAGCTACAGGGTGAGTGGTACAGCTAGACTGAACTACAGTATATCAGGTAGTGTCAGACTGAGCTACAGGGTGTATGGTACAGCTAGACTGAACTACAGTATATCAGGTAGTGTCAGACTGAGCTACAGGATGTGTGTTACAGCTCGACTGAGCTACAGGGTGTGTGGTACAGATAGACTGAGCTACAGGGTGAGTGGTACAGCTATACTGAACTACATGGTGTGTGGTACAGTTAGACGGAGCTACAGTATATCAGGTAATGTCAGAGAGAGCTACAAGGTGTGTGGTACAGCTAGACTGAGCTACAGGGTGTGTGGTACAGATAGACTGAGCTACAGGGTGAGTGGTACAGCTAGACTGAACTACATGTTGTGTGGTACAGCAAGACTGAGCTACAGGGTGTGCGGTATAGTTAGACTGAGCTACAGGGTGAGTGGTACAGCTAGACTGAACTACAGTATATCAGGTAGTGTCAGACTGAGCTACAGGGTGTGTGTTACAGCCCGACTACTGAGCTACAGGATGTGTGGTACATCTAGACTGAGCTACAGGGTGTGTGGTACAGCTGTACAGCTAGATGAGCTACTGAGCTACAGGGTGTGTGGTACAGCTAGAATGAGCTACAGGGTGTGTGGTACAGCTAGACTGAGCTACAGGGTGATGGTACAGCTAGACTGAACTACAGTATATCAGGTAGTGTCTACAGGTGTGTGCTACAGTACAGCTAGATTGAACTACAGGGTGTGTGGTACAGCTAGATTGTGTGTTAGCTACAGGGTGTGTGGTACAGATAGACTGTGCTACAGTTTTCCTGGTAGTGTCAGACTGAGCTACAGGGTGTATGGTACAGCTAGACTGAACTACAGTATATCAGGTAGTGTCAGACTTAGCTACAGGGTATGTGGTACAGCTAGACTGAACTACAGGGTGAGTGGTACAGCTAGACTGAACTACATGTTGTGTGGTACAGCAAGACTGAGCTACAGGGTGTGCGGTATAGTTAGACTGAGCTACAGGGTGAGTGGTACAGCTAGACTGAACTACAGTATATCAGGTAGTGTCAGACTGAGCTACAGGGTGTGTGTTACAGCCCGACTACTGAGCTACAGGATGTGTGGTACATCTAGACTGAGCTACAGGGTGTGTGGTACAGCTTGACTGAGCTACAGGGTGTGCGGTACAGCTAGATTGAACTACAGGGTGTGTGGTACGGCTAGATTGAGCTACAGGGTGTGTGGTACAAGTAGATTGAGGCACAGGGTATGTGGTACAGCTAGACTGAGCTACAGGAGTGCCAGACCAAGCTATAGGATGTGAGGTAGCACCAGATTGAGCTGCAGGGTGTAATATTAAGCTAGACTAAGCTATAAAAAGTGTAATAAAGCTACATTGAGCTAGAGGATGTTTGATATGCAACATTGAGCTACAGGATTTGTAGTAGAGCTAGAGTGACCTACAGGATGTGTGGTAGAGCTAGATTGACCTAAAGGTAGGTGGGGAGGTCATCTTAGACGGAGATACTTGATGCATGGCAAGTGTGAAGTTCTCCCCAGCCTTAGATACTGGATGTGTGTTAGATGACTAAAAAAACTTACTGCTTGAATAGCTCCTGTTGTTAAAACATTTCCAGAGACAAATATGACACTGACTATGCGTAGAGTACTGGGAAAGTTGACAGAAACCCATTCCTTGTACTTGCATACATCAGCATCTGGTGGCACCCACAGGGATTCAGAATATGTATTTTCTGTAAAGTTGATCACACCCACAGCAAATATCCCCACTAAAAAAGCACTCAGCACCACAGTCTTCAGTGGATGGGTACCAATCAGCAATCCTAGGCTGAAAGAAAGATTAAATACATAGTTAATTATTAGGGAATACAGACATGTTCCTTAGTGGTTAGAGTATCACATATTAAGGCAAACCAATCTCAAATATATATGCTTCAGAAACACAAAAACAAGTCATCAATATTTCGGAAATGTTCAATTTCTTTGCTGGAAAATCGTATTTAAAGAAGAAATCCAGGTAGTTGTATAATGAATAAAATCATAACAGATTATACTAAGGCCAGTCTAAATAAAAGGTGTTTTTCCATTGAATCCCATTACATCAAGCAGAAGCATGATGTTCCATCTATCTCTATATCATGCGATCAGCTCTGTACAAACATTTGCAAACCAACATTTTTTTCCTCATTGTGTCATCAATAATTGACAGCAGACCCACATTAATCGTTTTGTTAGGTCTACTATTATTTCACACATACATCAGTATGAATCTAAAACCACTTCCTTCGAGAATTCCCGTTTGTACCTGGCTTGGAATGGAAGTATTTGTGGCCTACATTGTAATATTTAGGTCACAATGACATATCACAGTCACCTCATCAACCTTCAGATATCAGTATGTCACTACCTGGCTAGGGATGGATGTACCAGTGACCTACATTGTTATGTTAAAGATCAGTACATTTGTACCTAGCTAGGGATGGATGTACCAGTGACCTATATAATTATGTTAAAGATCACTATGCTTGTACCTGGCTAGGGATGGATGTAGCAGTGTCCTACATTGTTATGTTAGAAATCAGTACATTTGTTCCTGGCTAGAGATGGATGTTGCAGTGTCCTACATTGTTGTGTCAGAAATCAGTACATTTGTACCTAGCTAGGGATGGATGTAGCAGTGTCCTACATTGTTATTTTAGAAATCAGTACATTTATACCTAGCTAGGGATGGATGTAGCAGTGTCCTACACTGTTATGTTAGAAATCAGTACATTTGTACCTAGCTAGGGATGGATGTAGCAGTGTCCTACATTGTTATGTTACAGATCACAAAGACAGGTTCAACATATACAGCCTTCTCGTCAAACATCAGGAAGTTTGTAAGATGATATCTATATGCTCTCGTATAGAAATTATATATATTTATATATATCTCATATTGGAAAAACTAAGGTCACATAAAATTAAAGGAAACATTATTAGATCAAGGGCAAAGTGGGTAGAAGAAGGCGAAAAACCATCTAGCTATTTCTTTGGTTTAGAAAATCGTAATTACACTTCTAAAAGAATACCTAAGTTACTTTCTGATAATAATGAGTTACTAACACAACAAGAGGAGATATTAGGAGAGGTATATACAATTTACAAAGGTCTCTATGGAGGAGGGCAAAATATAGATCATATGGAAAATATTAACCTAAATGATTATATAAATTTCAATGATATACCTAAATTGACACAGTCTGAAGCAAATAACTTAGAAGGGGAGATAACTTATAAAGAAGATGGGAATACTTTAAAACTAATGAAAAACAACAAAAGCCCTGGTTCGGACGGCTTCACAGCAGAATTTTAAAAAATGTTTTTTGGGAAAATTAGGGGAATTCATTGTTAGATCAATTAATTATGGATATTGTACAGGACAATTATCTATTACACAAAGACAAGGTTTAATTACATGTATACCAAAGGCAGACAAACCCAGACACTTCATTAAAAATTGGAGACCTATATCTTTATTGAATGTAGTATATAAAATTGCTTCGGGTTCAATTGCCAATAGATTAAAAACTGTTTTTAGTAAATTAATTAATGACGATCAAACTGGCTTCCTTTCTGGTAGATACATAGGCATCAATACTAGACTAATATATGACATTATGAAATACACAGAGGAGCATGATTTACCTGGCATGTTGCTCATGATAGATTTTGCAAAAGCGTTTGACTCAATATCTTGGTCATTCATTGAAAAAGTTCTTATTTTCTTTGGTTTTGGTAATAGTATAATTAATTCGTTTAACACGTTACACAAAAATGCTCAATCAGCTGTAAATCAGAGGGGAGGGGCTGCAGACAGGGGGACCCAATCGCACCATATCAATTTATACTTTGTGCAGAGATTTTGGCAATTAGAATTAGGAAAAATTTTAACATAAAAATTTTTTTTTCCACTTCTATTATCACAATACGCAGATGATACTTCACTAATACTTGATGGATCCAAAAACTCGCTAAAAGAATCAATTAAAGAGCTAAATATGTTTGCAAAGTTTTCAGGTTTAAAAGTAAATGTTGATAAGACCCAGGTTATATGGATTGGGAATAAAAAAATTAGTGATGACAGTTTTTTTACCAGAATACAATTTGCAGTGGGGTAGGAGAAAATTTACCTTATTAGGGATAGAATTTAGTGTGAATCTCCACGAGATACCAAAACTTAATTTTGATAAAAAACTAATAAAACTAAAATCATTGCTAAGTACATGTAAGAGAAGGTCATTGACTCCGATTGGAAAAATTAATATAATTAAGTCGCTACTTATATCACAGTTTACTCATCTTTTCATTTCTTTACCTAATCCTGATAATGCCTTTTTTGCTAAACTTAATTCTTTGTTTTTTGAATATCTATGGAATGGGGGACCTGATAAAATCAAAAGGGAGATAATTGTGCAGAATTATGTAAATGGAGGTTTGAAAATGGTTGATTTTTTAGCCTTTTGTAATTCCTTAATTTGGATTAACTTGGATAAGAAGACTTTTCCAAACCACGGCTAAATGGCAGTATATTGTAAAATTTTACAGTAATATGGGTCTTATTGCAAATTGTGGGAGCGAGTACATTGAGAATTGTAGTAATAATTGTAGAAATGATTTTTGGAAAGACGCTTTCAAAATATTTCATCTCTTTAATAGTAAATACTACAATAATATTCATCAAGAACAGATACTAAAAACACCTTTGTGGTACAATAAAGAGATAAAGATAGCTGGTTTATCAGTGTTTTATAAGGAATTTTATAGCAAAAATATTTTTGTAATTAATGATTTAGTTAAAGACACAAACACTGGAGTTTTCTACATTTGGTGAATTTATTCAAAAATATAATGTAAATACAAACTTCCTGAAATATCAGAGTCTTCTGTCCTCAGTGAAGAAATTTATTTCTTCCCACAATACACATTTTCTTTTACCCACACTATCTTATCCTTACATTCCTGCTAATTTAGATCCTTTTCTTAAAGACAGTAAAGGCTCAAAAATTTTCTATGAAGCATTAATTAAGTCTAAACTGATTTCATCTGGAACCAGAAAATGGAATACATTATTTGAAGACATTGACAAACAAACATGGGAGAACTATTACAAGATGCCATTTAAAGTCACCACTAATACAAAACTTATGTGGTTCCAATACAGAGTTATTCACCACATTCTGACTACTAATGGTTTTTTTTTGTTTAAAATCAGAACAGTTATCTCCCCTCTCTGTACATTCTGTAAATCAGAACCTGAAACTATTATCCATATAATGTGGGAATGTCAAGAAGTACAAAAACTATTGCAAAGCTTTGAATCATTGTTAAATATTCTTCATATTCCTTTTTCTTTTAACAAGAAATCTTTTCTTTTTGGAATTATTTTTGATAAATTCTTACCCAGCAACCGAGTTGATAATGAAATTATTTTATTAATAAAACAGTATGTATATAAAACAAAATGTCTTCATAGCTCTTTAAGTTTAAATGTATTAATAAATATAATAAAGGACACTTATACAGTTCAAAAATACATAACAAATGGTAAAGTTGATAAAGCAAAGACAAAATTTGAAAACAAATGGAGAAAATGGGATGGTCTTATCAAGTTGTAACTCATAGCATCAGTGGCAAAAATCCATATTTGACAGCAATTTATTCAAGTCACATCTGCAGCTCCTTAGCATCCAATAAATAACCCATAGTAGCCCTGCACACACACAAAAAGATGAAATTATATATAATTAAAACAGAACTATTTTTTTTTCATTAGTTGTTGCTTGCCATCCCAACCACTAAATATCCTGTTGTTACTTATGTATATAGTCTTTTCTCTCTCTCTTTTTCTTCTTCCTTTCGAAAAAAAAAAAAAAAAAAACCAATACAATGAGTGTGCTGACTACATCTTGTTGATAGCTCGGTCGAAGTTAAATTGATCAGGCTGCACCTGAATGAAGCTGTTTCTTTTTTGTTTTTTTTATTTTTTATCCGCGAAAAAGTACAGGCTTAAGTAACAAGCTCATTATTATCTTATTTTATATGTATACATTCCTACGACTATATGCAAATATATTGTTTATCAGTCTGGTCTGTTTTTGTCTGGTCTGGTCTGGCCTGGTCTGGCCAGGTCTGATCTGGTCTAGTCTGTCTGTCTGTCTGTCTGTCTGTCTGTCTGTCTGAGTGTATGTCTGTCTGTGTGCGAGGGTATGTGTGAGGGTGTATGTGTTGATGGGTGAGAGTATGTATGAGTGAGGGTGTTAGTGGTGTTTAAGTACTTCAATATTGACCGTATATAAAACAATTTGTCTTTACATAAATATGTATGTGTGTATCTGCAAGGGAGAATGAATAGTGACTATGTATGAAACAATTTGTTTATACAGAAACATGTATGTGTGTACATGCAAGCAGAGACATATGTGTGTTATGTATGTCTCTGATGCAAAAGAGAATGAAAAGTGACTGTGGATGAAACAACTTGTTTATAGATAAGTATGTATATGTGTATACGCAAGGGAGAATGAATAGTGATTGTGTATGAAACAGTTTGTTTGTGTGTGTGTATGCATACAGTATATAGTTGTTTTTGATTGTTGTGTGTATGAGCATGTCTTGCTTGAGATATACAAACAATAGCTACTATAAGAGCTGTCATGTGTGTAAAGGTGTGTTTGGGCTTGCATGGATGAGCAATAGGCTGTTTCATTGCATATTCCCTCTCTGTATCAACTCATTGTATTGAATAAAATGATAAATTACAAAAAAAAAAAAAAAAAAAAATCTATATGCTCTCAGGTAAACAGCCACATGCTTGCTGCTATGCATAGACATATACTAGGTACATTGACATAAAAGATTTAATTAACTGGAAATCAATAATGGCCTCTAACAAATCCACAGCCATGTTGGTGAATCAAGTAGATACCGGTGTACCATGGTATTGTAAAGCATGGGAAAATGAACCGGGGTCAAAATATCGTAATGATGAAGTGAATCGTAGATCACTTCACCATTATGTTCAAATGAAACCCAACCCCCAACCCTCCAAGCCACTTTATATTTTGTTTTCAATCGATGTTCCTTCACTTAATTTCTTTCATTTAGGCAACACTTCCTTGTAGAATGTTGTACACCATTTTCCCCTGGTAGTCAATATTATCTGCAGTTCAGTAATATTTTATTGACATTGAATATCTACTTGTACAAACACCAGTAAGTAACACATGTACCTTTTGATAAACTGAAGTGATTCACGTAAAATTTGTGCCCTTAAGAAAAACTGTATTGAAGTTATCAACTCAAACTGGGATATTCTAAATCAGGAGTGAATCACAGGACACCCCAATCCAAGCGTTAAGATTAAACCTCAATGACACAGCTGATTTTCTGCTCCATAACATATAGCTTAGCTTTCACATCACAGTGTCCTGTGACGGGTGAAAAAGGGACAGGTTGTTAGATCAGAGAAGAAGGAAGAAAGTAATTAAAAAGATATTGGAAGCAGGAAGAAAGTAATTAAAAATATGTTGGAAAGAGATATATCAGCAAATAGATGACCAGACCACACTCAGTGGTTGGATGTCAAAGAGAGTGAAACGTGTGTTGATGTCTGTGTGAGGGTTGCTGGACAATAGTTTGTGGATGCAAGGTCCATTTAGAGTAATTAATTGATAGATGAAATCTGGAACCTTAGACTGAGAGTGGACATCAAAAAGGCTTTATTCAGATAGGTTAGTCCCACCTCTTCCCTATACAATTGACCAATAGGATAAGAGAATTGAGCTTGTGTAGGAATGACAGGAGACTGTTTTTATATATTAGATGAGATAGATAGAATAGGGAGTTAGTCAGTTTTGGAGTGAGAAATTAGAGATTTTAGAGAGATCGAGAGAAGCCGGGACACATCAGGAAAGTGAGAGAGAAATCAGGAGGAGAGAGATACAACATTGCTGTACAATGATTACAAAAAAGTAAGCTACAAATAAAACCGAAATGGAACTGTATATCTGTCTTATCCGTATGTAAATTCCCCAGTGGCACATCTAACAAGAACGATGTAGAGCACACGGTCAGATATTGGTGGAGAATCCGGGTACCAGGCGTAAACACCTACACCCTGGTATAGAAGCCTTTGAGGAAAGTATAAAGGAGAGTCAATGGAATGATCATCTGTGGGCTCTAGTAATTCCAACAGGCAGAAAAATGGCAGCAAAAGACAGTCTAGCAATATTAGAGAAGTTTGATGGCCAAGTTTGTGCCAAGATCTGGCTGGCAAAGTTTAATAAATTTAGTAAAATAAGAAAATGGAAAGATGAGGAGAAGGCCATACAGTTTTCTCTACTTCTAAAAGGGAGAGCAGAGAAATGGCTATACACTCTGCAAACAAGAAGTACAAGATGACTTCCAACAACTGCTGCAAAAGTTTAAAGACCGATTTTTCCCCAGTGAGCTTGACAGACCAACTCGAGTGAAAGAGTTTCTGGACTCGCGTCAGGCTGGGATGGAAATTCAGGAGTATGTGGAGTTAGTGCATGCCCGAGGGAGTGAGCTAGATAGAACTGAAAAAGAAATTTTTGATGTTCTGATTAATGGATTAGATGGAAGGGTGAAAATGTTTGTTCTCGGGAAGGAGGCGAAAAACATTGGGGACCTAATCAAGTTTGGGGCAATGGCTCAGTCAATTGGACATTCAGAGCACAGTACAGAGATGTCTGGAATTATACAAAACTTGCAACAAGAACTGTTACTATTAAAGAAGAAGTGTGAAACCAGCAAGCATGAACTTGAGATGTTAAAAAAACAACAACATCAATAGTGTGAGGCCATCGGACAGAAACAATAACGGACAAAGATCAAGACCATACAATCATTGTGGTAAGTACTAGCATGAGGCACACAAATGTCGGTTCCGTAATGCAGTGTGTTACCACTGTGACAGAAAGGGCCATATCAAGTCCATATGTAGATCTTTGAATAGGGATAAGATCAGGGAAAGGCAAAGTCAACGTAAATAGGGGTAGGCGCTTATCTTTAAAGGTAGAGACGGGCACATCAACAGTGAGCTATATGATATTAAGGAAAATGGGAGAAAGGTTAAAGAAAACAGTCAGGAAATAAAATTAAATGAAAATGATTATCAGATACAGGTCAGGATAGGGCATAATACTTATGTAGCACTGGTAGATACAGGAGCACAAGGTATTTCATGTATCGATAGAAAAATATTTGAGGCAACCAATCTTGGAAAGAAGTTTGGAATAGAAAAGTAATATTTTAAATGCTTGTATAGCGCTAATGGTGGCGATATTGGGATCTCAGGAAAGGTGACAAACCCCATCTCTGTAGGGCATCTGGAGATGACACAAACTTTCCAGGTGGTTGAGAGGTTAAGCTTCCAAATTATTCTTGGCACTAAGTTTTTGAAAAAAGCATAAAGCAAAGGTAGAATGTGGGAATAGTAGCTTGGAACTTGAGGAAGGTATTGCCATAGTACACAATAAGAGCAAAAGGCGGACAAGTTTGGCTAGATTGGCTTGTAATATACATATAGCTCCTAAGTCGGTTTCAATGGTGCCAGTGAAAACTAAAAAGAAGGAAAAAGGGTTCAAGTTATTAGGACCAGTCTCCAGTCTTCCATCTAGATATAAGGTAATGCCCATTTAGTGTAATTAATTGATAGATGAAATCTGAAACCTTAGACTGAGAGTGGACATCTAAAAGGCTTTATTCAGATAGTTTAGTCCCACCTCTTCCATATACAACTGACCAATAGGATAAGAGAATTGAGCTTGTGTAAGAACAACAGGAGACTGTTTTTATATATTAGATGAGATAGATAGAATAGGGAGTTAGTTTTGGAGTGAGAGATTAGAGAGATTAGAGAGATCGAGAGAAGCCGGGACACATCAGGAAAGTGAGAGAGAAATCAGGAGGAGAGAGATACAACATTGCTGTACAATGATTACAAAAAGTAAGCTACAAATAAAACCGAAGTGGAACAGTAAATCCGTCTTATCCGTATGTTAATTTCCCAGTGGCAGATCAAACAAGAACGATGTAGAGCACACGGTCACAGTTCCATAAACTTAATAGTTACCGGGCCTATAATACCACGTCTGTTTACATACCAACAAGACTGTTTTAGTTTCCCATACTGAAGCTCGAACATTATCTCATGAATAATTCGACAATGTTGATACAAACACTGTAACCAAACTACAATTTATTTTCAGGGGCCCTTTTCAACTTTATTGCTAAAACTATGGGTCCCACAATGTAAATTTTACTGGTATGTTCAGAAATTTTACGAATTCCATCATAATTTTATGAGTACAGGACTCAAGGCTTACACACAGATTGATTACTGCAAACCTACATGATATTTCTGAGATACAAAAACTACTTTTTATTGCATTTTTACCACTAAAATATAGGGAAATATGTTGATAAATGACATGCATTCATGAAACACCAAACATAGATCTTCTTAAAAAATTGACCAATCAAAAAATGTATTAAAAAATTGAAATATAATGGACAGAATATTAAAGTTTTCAGTAATAAAAATATGTCTCACTCATGTAGCTAACATTTAGGTATGTTCACTTATGCTGTAGAACTCGTAAAGAAACATAACTGATTTATCATTGAAAAGAAACTGTTAGAGCGTTGTTTACCATAAACCTTTGATATTTGGTTATATGAATCACTACAATTTTGGCCCCAGCCATTCCTAGAGTACTAAAATGACACTTGTTGATGTGTTTACTTACCACTGTACCAGTTGATGGACATTTGGTCGAGAGTTTACTTACCTATAAAATCCATTTTCCATTGAGGATGTAATCTTATTGAATATTCTTTGGATGATGAATGGTTTATTTTCTTGTCCATGGCTGTTGTTTGGTGCTGCCATATTTATATTTCAGTGTGTCAGTATTATTGTTCCAGTGCTAATATTTCCTGTGCTTTTGTGACGTATATCCTTCAATTCGCTGCTTTCTTGGTTACCACCAAGAGCTACTTTCAGCTACACCTGAGGAAACAGTGTACAAGTATACCGTGTAAAACACATTATATCAACGTGTTTTTAACTATTTATACCCGTTTATAATCGCTTCAGTGATTCCACTGTAGGTCATGCTGGTTTATTCCCACCTAGCCCACATTTGAAAATATTGGTTTATTCCCACCTAGCCCACATTTGAAAATATTGGTTTATTCCTACCTAGCCCACATTTGAAAATATTACAGGTACAAGTAGCTTTCTCACTTCTTTACCTGGGGGTTATAGTTTGTTTCAATTAATTAACCACACCTAGGAGTAACCCAAGCATTGCACTCAAACATCCAAGCTTGTGTATATTAAAGAACTGTCTTTGTTTTCATGAACATTTTTATGCCTTATTATAAAATAATTAAAATGTTAGTGAATATTTATCAAAGTCTTGCAGTATGAAAATATGAATATTAATCAAAGCTTACTAGATAATTTGATTATTAATCAAAGCTGATTAGAGAAATTGTTCAATCTAAGCCATGTAGATAGAGTATAAATGACAGCTGATTTCTAAATCCTTAAACAGTTTCAACATGGCTAATGCTCAGCTACAGGTTGATTTTCTGGATAATTACCGGGGTGGATGTCCAACGCCAACTTGATCTTCATAGTCCAAGGAAGCTCCAGGCTTTTGCTGCTAGTACCTCATTTAAGCGCCCTCGATCCATAAACTAGAATAACACAAGTATATTGGACATCAATTCAACTTTGTACAATATTTCAAGACATTTCCATTTTTAAAATTTCATGTAACTGTTTTAATAGGAACCAATACATCTAAGTAAATATTTTAATCCTTTGAGTGAATAATACTTATACCTCTCCAAGTTATAACTCACTGTAATGACTAAATAATATGTAATTATGTACATTGTAATGAATAAACAGCAATAAAAGAAATTAAAGTCAATCATTTTTTTTTTTTTTTATGAAAATTGGCTTATTTGAAAAGTATGCATATTTGGTCTACTCAATTTGAGAAGTTAATGTTAAATGACTGACACTTTTGTCTAGCGAGCAGATTCAGCTTCTGATGCTTGGTAAGTGAAAATTGAACAGGCAAGTGTGGACTCGAAGTCTATAATCAAAACTCCCTTAAATATTGTACTGAAAACAAAAAAGTTATGAAAAACGAAAAGATTTTACTATATCTATCACATGTAATAAGAATTAAAACTAATGGACGAATTGATGTTCAGCAAAATTTTTAATGTGTTTAAATATTGCTGCTCCTTGGAGTAAAATTAAGGCAACAATGACGTGTCCAGATTCTACTGGAATCCTTCCACCAAACTACCATACCACAGAACAGGTCCTCAACGATTATGATGTCTGGCAATAAAAACCTGTTTGTCTTTTCACTACAAAGTTTATTGATCTGCCCATTGATCTGGATATTGTATGGCTGGTAATATAAGTACCTTGCATATCCTTGATTAGGATAAAACTATTAGTATGGATTTACGTTTCAGAATAGCCGATGTCATAGCATATTTGGATCCACCATCATAAAAGGATCCGGATCATTTTTCTGGCCATCAGAAAAAGATCCCCCCTATAGTATTTTGATTCCCCTTAAGAGAAGTTATATTAACAATGCATATATGCATATATTTAAGGTGATGGTGAAAATATGATGATAGGTGTTATGTTAGCTGTTAAGTTGTTAATTACACCTGGCCAACCAGTCAATTAAATAAGAGGATTAAGGGTAGAGGGTTCAAACCTGAGTGAGCACCCATGTGCACATGGCAGGTATACCGATTGATCAATTAAAGTTACCTGTGGATAAATTCCATTACAGATAAATTGAGGTCATCATTTTACATAAAAGCTGTGTTAAATATACATTTTCCACTTTAAAATTAATATATTCATATTTGCATGAATATTAAAACTTGCAAATCAATTGCTTAACAGTTATTTAATTGAAAAAAAACATTGCCTGCTATACATGTACGTGTGTTGGATCATTAGGGATTTAATTTTATGTAAAAAACGCCCTTGTTTTTATGAGAAAATAACTGATATTTGCCCAAACATAGGCCTGTAATTTTTTTTATTCCATGCATGTATGTTGCATCTTCTTTCCTGTAAGTGACTTGATTAATAAAACTGGGTCTTAGTGTACATTATTGGTAAATAATTATTTCCTTTTTACCTCAGAAGTTATATAATTGTTTCTTATATATAAACATATACTAAAACGAAAAAGAAACGCCGTGTAACCTAAAAAGATTCTTTTAAATGATATAATTTAATGTTACATTATTTCATTCATTTTTGTATACAATTTCATCTGTTTGGAACCATTTGTTGAAGGTTCTATCGATTATCAATGCTAATTATGCCAAAAACATCCCCCTTTTACCGATGACCCTACTTGTATTGCGCAACACGGCCGGACATTTCAGTATCTTGTGTGTCCTCCCTGCGAAGCTGTCGCAGCCCTGATTCTTCTATGCATGGAATTCATCAGGGTGATAACCCTTGCAATGGGGATGTTATTCCATTATTCATGCAAGGCACGTGTGAGCTGGACCAGATTAGTGGGGGCATTTGGACGTCTCCTAACTCTCCTATCCAATTCGTCCCACAAATGCTCAATTGGAGACAAATCTGGACTGAATGCTGGCCAATCGATTGGGATTACGTTATTGTTGGCAAGAAATTGCTGACAAACTCTAGCGACATGGGACCGGGCATTGTCTTGCTGGAATATCAGGTTCCGTGCTTGCACACATGGCACTGCAACTGGGCGAAGGATTTCGTCTCTATACCTTACGCCGGTTAAATTACCGTCAATCACGATCAGGGGTGATTTAAACCCATAGGAGATACCGCCCCAAACACATACTGAACCACCGCCAAACCTATCCCGCTCAGCGACGCACGCGTCGGTGTAACGTTCCCCTCGACGTCGATATACACGACGTCGCCCGTCCGAACGGTAGAGAGTGAACCGGGATTCGTCAGTGAAGAATACCCGTCTCCATTGCCTCATAGGAAAATTTCTGGGCGAGTGTGCTTGTAACCAAGCCAATCGGCGTTGGCGACGCGCAGGAGTTAGGGGCAGACCAACATAGGGACGTCGGGCTCTTAGGCCATTGACGCGTAATCGGTTTCGAACCGTATCAGGATGAATATGACGGTTATGACTGCCTATATTGTTATTTGCAGTGAGATGGCGATTACGTAAGTGAGAAAGTCTTATAAACCGATCCTGATGTGGCGTCGTGCCGCGCGGACGTCCACTTCGCGGTCGGTCGATGACCCTCCCCGTCACTCGCACACGTTGGACAAGACGTTGAATTGTCCTAATATGCACACCAAAATGTGCAGCAACCTGAAGTTGGCCCTGACCCTGCAAAAGCATTCCTATAGCCTGTCCCCGCTGGACTTCCGTCAATCGTGGCATGGATGTGAATTGCTTAATTCGATTCAAACTTTGAAAAATCAATCCGAATACTTGAACAGTATCAAATAGACTGAAAATTTCCATTGGCGAACTCAATGACCTTCCCCTGCACGGGATTCTTGTATTTTAGCACGTGCCTCGCACGGAGCGCGGAGGTAAGTTATTGTGTGATTTTAAACAAGTGTACCTAGTGACCGCGAACAGCACATCAACCTGACCCAGTGTCATTATTCTAGGCCAAGCAATGAATCATTTGTAGTATATTTAGTGTACCCGGCGTCTCTTTTTCGTGTTAGTATATATTTACCTCAAAGTTTTGTAAATATGTTAGAGTAAACTAATTATATATGGATCACTAAGTGTTAATTTCCCACTCTGCATACTTGTTCAGAATTGTATATTTTTTGTAAACTTTGTATTTATAATTTAGACATTCATTGTAACTAATTTTCTCCTTTTCAATTTCAAAATACTACTTTCTTATTGTACGTCTCTTTCTGTTTATAATTATTGACCCTAAAATCTTTCTTTCATCAAAATATATCCTTTTATGTCAACTGTTAATTTTCCCTTTGCACATATATATGCAGAAGTCTACATGCATACATGTATATAAAATTATCCATTGAATCCATAAACTTATTTTCCATGAAGTATATTTGGGACAGGTTATATATAGAGTAATTATGTATGCAGTCATCATTTAAGCCCATCAATCACTACCTGTACAGGGTAATCTGGAGCTTGACCTCTTCAGCCTTGGCTCCACAGGTGTTATGTAATCAGACCTGTACAGGTAACCCAGGTATCAGTGACCAAGTCCCAACCATAGTTACCTATCATATCTCGTTTTAGTTATAAAGCTATAAAGTTTAAAATAAGATTCACAAGGGGGATCACAATACTATAGGTCGAATCCTTTTCTGATGGGGGATACAAATATCATATGACACTGGCATTTCTAATGCATACACCTCAAATTTTAATAGCATGTTTTCTTAAGGAAGAAAACACAACCCAGAGATATTAAATCTGAAATGACAAATAATTATGATACCCATTCAAATTCATTCTTTAATTCCTGGGAGTGCTTTAATTAGCTCAAATATCCATACATTATACTTAGCAGTTTTCAGCCAGATTAACCTGTCACATTGAACCTGAAAACTTAGGTATCTCTGACTGTTATTTGTACTTATGAGAAGTCTATTTCATCTGTTAAGACATGGTTATCATTACATCTTCACTACAGGATTATCAACTTGACTGTTATCAATATCATGAGGTAAAGTGAAGATGACAGATCATTTCAGTCAGACTATATGATTTTAAAATTCCCTGAAGACATCAGTTAGGTCAATATCCAGTTTATATACTTGACTATATCACTATCTAGGTACACATTAAAATCATGTCCAATGTTTAATCCAAATTAGAA